CCAACTGTGAAGAGAAAATGATCAGAAGAAATTAGTTTAGTGTTCAGACGGCGTGTTACGAATACCAATCGAAATGCTGGCAGAAAGATTATTTTGGGTACCTAATGAGTTGCGCACTTATTAGAAAGGAGTACGATGAATAAATACGTTTGCTCCATTTAATATATTTATATATAATATATATAAATATATATATATAATATATATATTTATATATAATGTAAGACTGTTATAGTGAAAATACTGTGTATTAACGCTTGTTATGGTCACTTGAATAGTATATTTATATTATATTATGATTCGTTCACGTTTTACAATGGTTCTGAATTTTATCACTGGTTTTCACTGCAGCGTGTCACTGGAAAATGGATCAGAGTGAAGGACTAACTTCGCGAACTTTGAAACCATTGATTTAGGTTCCCCATCCCTCCTGGGTGGGACTGAGGTTGTCTTAATTGCTCTAGCACACACGTATCCGCAAGATTGAGTATCGCGGTTTTACGCCGGTTGCAAGCGTCGATTTTGTAGTAGCTTAACTATGGTGAATGCAGAATCGCGATTGGATGTGAAAGTATAGTTATACTCATCCGATTCCGTTTTGGCTTTTTCACATGATTGTGGTTTAACCATCTCGGATGTAATACGTAGCAACAGTGTTTTGGGATCAATCTCTGGGTCGAGACAGAAGAAAGATTACTTAGATGGTTAACTGTAAATGGGTTGGTATTTTTTCACCGAATAATCAATCACAGACGATCAGCGGTGAGGCCGATGGCACGGAGGGCCTCGGCCTGGCAAGAGATCCCTCTCACAAATAATCACAGCAAGAAAATATGGAATGCCCGCAAAATAAGCATCCTCCATTTCTCTGTTTCATCAGAGGAACCAGTTGGTTATGAAAGAGTAAGAGGTAGATGTTCAAAACAAAAAGAGGAATAAGAGGAATTCTATTTTCAAACATATTCTCAAAATTCTGTATGGATTCCATGAAGTAATGTCCCGTATGAGTAAGTATTTGTGAAATAAGAAGAACCAAAAAATAATCAAACAACTCAGTACCTGTCTATCGGTATAAGAAAGAGGTACCTATATGAAATGGTTGGTGAGATGAAAGTGATTCCTCACTGGGAATTCCCCGTGTTTCATACAACTGATGTCAAATTTCGTCTGACAGCTTGGCAATAAAGTAGTGATGCTATAGGGCTGCAGGACAACGAATATTCGAATTCGGTAGTTATGGGGTTCTATTTAGCAGATGAGCAAGCCGGCGTATCGTTGGGGTACCGATATGCTCATGGTAGCCAATAATTGGCTGACACAGAAATGACCGGTTACAGTGTGGTCGGCTCGTGAATAATCGTATGCATGTACGGCAATAGATAGAGGTTTTGGGTCTAAGCTGCCATTCTCAAGGCTTTAAGAGTTGGAGTTGTGCCTTTTAAACTATGATCGTCTGTGTGACCCGGTTACACTTCAAAATCATTGCTTACAGCGATATCTTTAATGAGTTCATATGGTGCGTGCCTTTAGTAGGCTCGGTTGGATAAAAAGACCATTCTTGCTGGTGGTTTTGTAAGAACCATGAGAGTTAACTGAAATGACTCAATTTACCGGGCCTATACTATATCGATCGTGGGAAGAATGTTGGTGAGGTGGGTTTTCACACGTGGATTAAAACGAAGCATTACGTGAATGTTTGTTAGGGTATGCAACTTATATGTAATGCAATTGTGAAAATGTATTCTTACTCACCTGGCTAGAAGTGATGATCACTTGGCTGGTTACCCCATACATCTATTCCACCACTCCATGTGATACACACGGCTGTACGCTCAGCAGTCCTTTCAGACAGCAGCGGTTGTAAGAAAAATAACAACAGTAACGCTGTGTGGTGATCACTCACTGTTATTTAATGACATTCAGACGTTGGAACCAAGCTCACTAGCCTGAGTATTGCATCCAGTGCAATACTTCGGTTGGTGATTATCGTTTTGCTGGTTACCTCGTTGATGCATATAATTTTAAAACGACTTAACCGTTATGTAGTCTTAATTTTTGTTATTTTTAAATTTTTACTTCCTTCTATTGAATATGCAATAGTACAATTTTCAGGAAGGGGGAAACAGCCAGTTAAAGAGCTGCCATTCAACACAATGGGGAAAGTCAGGCGGTGGTAGTGGGGGGGGTTCGAAAATACGTCCTCCGGGGGGTGATGAT